AAAATACATGCATGCCTTACCTAAACACTTTCAGTTTCTAACAAGTGCAATGCTAAACAGAGAACTCTTGTTTTCACCAGTGTTGTGGTGCAGCAAATGTAGCTGCTTCACTTCCAATCCAGCTCCCTGCTAACAGCCCGGAGAAAGTGAAAGATAATCCAACTCTGGGGTCCCTGACATCTGAGTGGGAGACCTGAAATAAGGTCCTGGCTTCCCTGACAACTCTGGCCCTTGCAGTCCCCAGGAGAGCGAACCAGTGAGTGGAAGACTCCCACTCCCACACTGTCTCTCCTCTCTGAAATTCCAACTTCTAAATAAATAAACCTTGAAAAAAAAATCCTCATTTTAAGGTGACCACATCACTTATGAGGCAAAGTAAGGGGATGAAAGTAGCACAAGAAAACCAGGATGGTACAGGAACAAGCCACGTGCTCACTCCATTCACTTAACACACAGCCCTGTGCGGCTCAAGGACAGGGACTGTTCTGAAAAGGGCATCATTAGTCAATCCGGTTGCTGTGCAATCAGAGTGAACTCAAACCAAGATGGCCACATCATCATCACTAGGCAACACAATCCCTCTGTATATCCAATCATCTTCCCTGACACCCACCCCCCCAAAAAATATATAGCATGTAGTGTGTTCTTTGTGTTTAAGTCAACTCACCAAAGCCAGACCAATGAGCTTCCTAAGACCTGGAGCAAATAGTCTAAAAGGGCACAATGACTGGCTCAAAGATGGCGTTCACAGAGGCCAGGCGCTCTCAACAACCTATTTAGTATGCAGGGGCAGGCAGTGACACAGCAGTTAAGGCCCTATCCCTAGCCCAATGCACACCTCCACTACTCAGCTGCTGCTTGCCTCTAGTACACCTTGGCTTTTGGCTATTTGGAGAATAAACCAGCAAATGGAAGATCTTTGTCTCTCTCTGCTCTTCACATAATGAAAATACATTAAAAATTTTTAAATAATTTTCTTAATCCTGGTTTCTATTCCTTTTTGTGTCATGCTCCTTTTCACCAAAAAAAATCTTAAAAATTTCTTCAACCCAATGAGAATAAAGAATTTTAATGTTTACAAAAGCAGCTTCTTAATCAACCACATATACACTGAACTCTATGCTGTAAGATCACGCATCTTTTTCACACAGTTAACAACATTTTAACTTCAAAAGGCAATGATATTAGGGCTTGGCGGCGTGGCCTAGCAGCTACAGTCTTCGCCCTGAACATACCAAGATCCCATATGGGGGCCGGTTCTAATCCTAGCAGCTCCACTTCCATCCAGCTCCCTGCTTGTGGCCTGGGAAAGCAGTCGAGGATGGCTCAAAGCATGCACCCATGTTAGAGACCTGGAGGAGGTTCCTGGTTCCTGGCTTCAGATTGGCGCAGCACCGACTGTTGCAGTCACTTGGGGAGTGAATCAGTGGACAGAAGATCTTCCCCTCTGTCTCTCCCCCTCTATGTATATCCACCTTTCCAATAAAAATAAATAAATCTTTAAAAAAAAGGCATTGATATTAAACAGTGTCAGAACTAGTTCCTTTCAAAAAACTACACACATTGAAATTTTCCCAAATGTGAATTTCTTCCTGACCATCTCATTGATAAAAGAACCAGAGCTGTAGCTTCCTGTGTCCCTAATCTTCAGTGAAGGAAATGGGGCTTCTTCAAATACAAGCTTCCCTGTATTGACTATAAAAAAAAAATCTGTTAGGGCCGGTACTTGATGTGGTTCTTAAAAGGAAGTTCAGGAGATATGCCTATGCCAGGATTTGTGTTCTGGATCCTTCCAATCCTAATTTCCTGCTAATGTGCACCCTGGGAAGCAGCACATAATGGCTTTAGTACTTAAGTCCCTTTCACACAGGTGGCAAGCCCTGAATGAGTTCCTGGCTCCAGGCTTCAGCCTGGCCCTGCCCCAGCAGGGGTACAAATGAGACTGCTGCCTGTTTTAGCCTTCCTTCCTTTCTTCCCAGGGTCTCCCTTTCAAACAATTTTTTAAACAGTCTGTTTGGGAACAGGTGTTTGCTCATATCCCACCTCAGCCAACCTGGGCTTGAGAAACAGCTCTAGTTCCTCATTCCAGCTTTCTGCCTGTCTACACCTCAACACAGTGATAGCTCAAGTTAACTGGGGTTTTGAGAGAGAGAGTGAGAGACACACACACACTGGAATGAGTTCCTGTCTCCCAGCTTCCACTGAGCCCCAGTCCAAGCTCTCCTTAGCATCTGCAGAGGGAAAAACTGAATGAGAGCCCAGCACAATGGACCCACTGGCTACTCCTCCCCTTGCAAATGCCAGGAACCCATGTGGTTGCCTGGTTCCTATCCCAGCTGCTCCGCTTTCCATCCAGCTCCCTGCTTGTGGACTAGGAAAGCAGTAGAGGATTCCCAAAGCCTTGGGTTCCTGCACCCACGTGGGAGACATGAAACAAGCTCCTGGCTCCCTATGGGCTCAGCTCTGGCTGTTGCAGCGATCTGGGGAGTGAACCAGTGGAAGGAAGATCTTTTTGTCTCTCCTTTGTAAATCTACCTTCCAAATAAAAAAAGAATAAATCAGTGTTGACTCCAACATACATATAGCCCATACAGTATTTTACTACATATGTGCTACATAGGTACTCAATTTGAGAAAAAACTAAAATCTTGCATTCAACCTTTTTTTTAACGGAAATAGAAAACATATTTTTAAGAATTGAATAACCCCACATTTGAACAGCTAACTGGACAAATTAAATAAAACTTAATTCCCTCCCATAGAGAAGGAAAATGCCTTCATAGTTAACAAAGATTGCTCTGGTACAATGCCTGACACACTACAGGTATTCAATAGAAAGCTCTTCATATTTTTACCTACAGGTTTAATTCAGGGACCAGTCCAATCAAGATACAAATTACTTTTAAAGTAACTCATGAGTACTATAGAATGGTATCCAAAAGTATCTTTTGGATCCATCTCTTACCCTGAACCTGAATATGAAACAATGTAATCAATAGGCAGACAGCAACAGGCACTTAAATTTTTCCATATTATGTTACAAAAATGGGAAATTCAACTAATTAATCATTGGTCCAGTAACATTTCCTTGAAAAGCTAAATGTTAGAGCCACAAAGTTTTCCTTCCTCCCCATTTCTGTGCATCTCCCACTCAGGACAGGATAGGAAGTATGTCCCTCAAAACCTAGGCCGCCCGGTACAGATGTAGTCACTGCATCCATGACGAGTTGACACAGCGCCTCGCTTTACCAGCCTTTCACTAAAAGACACTCAGGAATAGCTCCTAGTGCTGCAAGAACTGTTAGCAAAACTGACCAAAGCCCAAACTTGCAATTCTCAGCCAAAGAAAATCTTAAATAAAAAAAAAAAAACCTCAAAACAGGAAATCACTATCATTTATGCCATTTCCAAAAACAACTTACCTTTTTGCACCTTCCTTTTGCAGATTTGAAATCCAGATTCTCCTACAGTCACTGGCAGTCTTTTCTGTTTGATCCAATAGCACACTACTGACGCCCCTCTCTAACACAGCAAGGGAAAGCATACTAGTCTTGCTCTCTTTTCTTTAAAGATCTATTTATTTTTATTTTTATTGGAAAGGGAGGTCTACAGAGAGACACGTCTTCCATCCGCTGGTTCACTCCCCAAATGGCCGCAATGGCTGGGGCGGAGCAGATCCGAAGCCAGGAGCCAGTAGCCTCTTCTGGGGCTCCCACGTGGGTGCAGGGTCCCAAGGCTTTGGGCCATTCTCCACTGCTTTCCCAAGCCACAAGCAGGGAGCTGGATGGGAAGTGGAGCAGCCGGGACATAAACTGGAATTGGAGGTGGAGAATTAACCAACTGAGCAAGCTTGCCACCCCGTGTTACTCTGCTAACTACAAAAACCAAAGCGCACACGTTTGAACCCAAAATTTCAAACAACGAACTTAAAATAAAACATCAAGTAACCATTAAAGGCTTCCCATCTTTTCCGCCCAGACAACATTCTTTAAATGTGTTTTTCCTGGACGGGAAAAGATGTGTATCTTGATGGCAGGGGCAGCAGCTAAGAGCACAAGGTACTAAACAAGCTACTTCGGAACAGGTGGAAACTACCAGCGTGTGTGCTGTTGCAGGAAACAGAACGGAGAGCCGTGAATGGGAGTCTCTGCACTTCATATCTGCAAAAGAAGAAAATAGAAAGGTTAACTCGAGTCTAGACTCGGAACAGATTCTCTTCCTACTTAAAGAGGGGCCTCTCACACCGTCAAACGATGAAAATGTAGTCAAGACGCTTTTCAGGTGAACTCAACTTTTTTCACCTGGAGTACATTTAGAACTGTACCTGTAGTACTCATTTGAGGCTGTTTAGGCAAACGACCTTGACAGTAAGGGTTAGAAGCGTATGATCTCTTTTTAAACCCTATCATTCAAATGAACAAAACGTATTTCTCTACTGAAACAGTTGAGGGGAATCCATGACAGTGAGAACATTCAAAAGCTTCATTTTAACTCGGGCTCCTCCACCTGTAACGCGTGACAGGCAGCCTTTCAGGCACCCTAAAGCTTAACACAGCCCATTTCTCCAGCCTCGCTAAAGTTAAAGGCTTACACCAGGACTAACCGACAAGTGGCATCTCACAACCTCCCCAACCCCACCCCGCCGGCTAGCACCCTGTTCACAAGGGGGAAAGTAAAAAAAAAAAATCCATCTGCCTTTCCCAATAACCCACCCGCCTCAACAAGGAGGAGCCGGGATGAAGTCGCACGAGCCTGGGAGTGGGAGAATAGATCCGCACGCCCATCTACAACGCGCCAAGCCCGCACAGCTCTGCACACCTGCCCTGCCTGGCGTCCACCTGGGGCAGGCGCCGCCCTCTCCGGGTCTCTCGTGTCCGCCCCACCCGGAGCGCGCGCCACGCGCCGGGCAGGACTGGAGGGTCGAGGGGGGCTGCCCGGGTTCGCTCCCTTTCCCTGGGGACCCGGGCGTCCCCGGGGCGCGCTGGGGGAGGGAGCGGTACCTTTTGGACAGATCCATGAGTACCCCGGAGAAGAGCTTCTCCCCGAGGCGGAACGACACCACGAGCGCGTCCTCAATGATGTGGTCCAGCGTGACCCGCACCTCTGAGCCCGGAATCAGTTGCGACACCGCCGAGTCCCCGCCCGCCGGCGGCAGCAGCCCCGGGGCTGCAGGCTGGGACAGCGGCGTCTCCTCGCTCTCCTCCGGAGACCGGGGCCGCTCCGGCGGCTGTGCCGGGGGAGAAGGGAGAAGGTCGGGTCCCTCACGAGGCGCAGCTGCCTCTGGCTCCGCCACCCGGACGGGCAGCTTCTCCTCAGCCTCCAGCTCTGGCCCCGCTGCCTCGGGGCTGCGGGCGAGCTCCCCTGGCGGCGGCGGCGGAGGCGGGAGAGGTGGGTCGTCGGCCTGAGGAGCGGACTGCTGCCCGTCCGCCTCGCCGTCCGGCACGGACGCTTCAGTAGCAGTGACCGGGAGGGGGTCCGTGCCGGCCTCGCTGCCGGGGATGGGCTCCATCTCCGGCTCGGCCTCGCCGGCGCCCCCCTCCCCGGGGGACGCTGCAGTCGCTGCCGCCTCTGCAGCCACAGCCGCCATTTTCTTCCTGGCTTCTCCCTCCTCCAACTCCGGCTGCAGCTGCGGCGGCGGCGGCGGCGCTGCTTGCTTCCCTAGGCCTTCCCCTCCCTCCCGCGAACACTTTCGTCCCGCCCTTTCCCCGATGCCCGTTATTGGCACCGCGCCATTGGTCCCAGCCTACACCCATCCCGCGCCTGCGATAGTCCATTGGCCAGTAACGGACGTCTATCATCCAATCAGTCCCTCCCTCCCACACAGAGCAGCAACTTCTCATTGGCCAGGTGACTTGTCAAATGTCGTAGCCAAGAGGAGGCGTGGAGAGGGCGGGCTCCGAGGGGGCGGGGAAAGTCACTGAAGCTTAGCCCTCTACTTATCGGCGCTTTCTATTGGTTGGAAGACAAAATAAAGTTTTACGGTTGGCCCAAGCTCCTGCCCATTATGAGCCGGGTCTTGAGAAAGGAAAAGAATCACGTGGCGAGCCAGTTCTTTCAAAGGAAACCGAGGGGAGGAGTAACTAGAGAATGCAGGAGCGATACGGCTTCCCAAGTGTCCGCTCTCAGAGAGCCTTAGAATAAATGTTATTTCTAGGCGCGGACCTGCCCGCGGCCGAGTGTGGGCACGACAAGCTTTGGGAAAGACAGCTAAAGTTTGAAAATAATTACACAAGCACTCTGAACGAATACTATGCCAAGTGCTAGGATGCGATGATGCACACACATTCCCCATCACCTCGTGGCAGCAACTCCAGTCTGCACATGACTGTTTCCCTTGAGTTCTCCCAGCTTTCTAGGAAACTACCGATCTCAGAGAAGGAAAATGCTCATAGGAGAGCTGACACATCCCCACCAAGAAGCCAATGTGTTTCCTGGCACACACTGATGAGCTACTGTATGAACGGTACTTGTTCCTTACAAATCCACCGTGCAATGGACACACCTGCCTTCCTGCTTAAGCCTTCTTACTTCCTGGCTTCTCGGAAAGGCCAGCAGCTGTAGCAAGTTAAGATGGACACGTGGGACATGCATTCCCACTCAGAGGGCTAATTGGAATCTGGCTGCTCATGCCTGGGGAAGGCAGTGGAAGATGACTAGTACTTGAGCCTGTGATGGAGTTCTTGGTTTCTGATTTGAACCTGGACCGACCCTCCTTGCTGTGAAAACTGAGCCAGCAGGTGGAAAACACGCGGCTTTCTCTTCCCGCGTTTTAAAGACAACCACCACCAGCCTGTCATTTATTTATAAGGCAGAATTGGGCTGGGGGGGAGGGGGGAGATACAGAAAAAAGATCTTCCATGCGCCAATTCACCCAAATGGCCACAATAGCATGGCCAGCATGAAGCCAGGAGACCAGAGCGTCATCCAGCTCTTCCACATGAGTAAAAGGTCGCAAGGACTTGAGCCATCTTCTATTGTTTTCCCAGGCACATTAGCAGGGACTCGAAGTGGAGCAGCCTGGACTCGAACTAGCACTCACAGGAGTTGCTGGCATTGTAGGCAGCAGCTGAATCCAGTTTGTCAAAACACCGACCCCATATCTGCCTCTTAAATAAATACATCTTTCAAAAACAAAACAGGCCTTTCTTTAGTGTCCGGTTACCCTGACTTTTCTTACTTTAAATCTCAGTTTCTTATGCCTCTAAGAAGTTACTAAGCCCATTTATTTCGAATTACATCTCTGTGTTAGCTTTTTCTGAGAAATACATTACAGACACCGAGAATGCTTTCAGCAGAAAGGAAAAGAAAGAGACCTGGCACAGTAGCCTAGTGGCTAAAGTCCTCACCTTGCACGCACCGGGATCCCACATGGCTGCCAGTTCTAATCCTGGTGGCCCCGCTTCCCATCCAGCTCCCTGCTTGTGACCTGGGAAAGCAGTGGAGGATAGCACAAAGCCTTGGGACCTTGTACCCACATGGGAAACCCAGAATAAGCTCCTGGCTCCAGCTTCAGTTTGGCTCAGCTCCAGCCAGTGCAGCCATCTGGGGAGTGAATTATCAGATGGAAGATCTTCTCTCTGTCTCTCCTCCACTCTATCTGACTTTCCAATAAAAATTAAGTAAATCTTTTTTAAAAAAGTAAAAAATGGGGCCCGGCCCGGTGGCGCAAGTGGTTAAAGGTCCTCGCCTTGCATGCCCGGGATCCCATATGGGCGCCGGTTCTAATCCCGGCAGCCCTGCTTCCCTTCCAGCTCCCTGCCTGTGGCCTGGGAAAGCAGTCGAGGACGGCCCAAAGCTTTGGGAACCTGCACCCACGTGGGAGACCCGGAAGAGGCTCCTGGCTTTGGATCGGCATAGTATCGGCCCGTTGCGCTCACTTGGGGAGTGAATCATCGGACGGAAGATCTTCCTCTCTGTCTCTCCTCTCTGTATATCCGCCTTTCCAATAAAAAAATAATAATAAAAATAAATCTTTAAAAAAAAAAAAGTAAAAAATGAATTCTAGGGCTCAGGAGGATAGCCTAATGGCTAAATCCTCACCTTGCTTCTGTCAGGATCCCATAGGAGTAGTGGTTCTTGTCCCTGGTGATACATCTCCCTCCCACCACCTGCTTATGGACTGGGAAAGCAGTGGACAATGGCCCAAAGTGTTGGGACCCCACACCTGTGTGAGTGACATGAACTGGCTCCTGTATGGGATCCTGGCATATGCAAGACAAAGACTTTTTAGCCAAGCAACCGCGCCAGGCCCTCTCTTTTAAAATCTTGTAAATTCAATCTTGTATCACTTTTATAGATAAGGAAAGTGAACCTTAACCAGGCTGGCTGACTGGTCACAAGCTAGTTAACAGCAGATGCCATCTAAACCAAGTCCTTAGTCCTTCTGAGTACATAACCTTGTCACTCACTCTTCCATTCAGCAGCCAGGCTGCTGCAGGCTAGGTGCAGGCAGCAGGCAGACAAGGTCCCGCTCGGCAGCCTCTTCATGGTGACACTTGTCTCTAGTTGACTATAATCAATGAATTGAACAGAATGTCTATAACACTCCTAGACTGAGTGTCCAACCTATGTAATCTCTCCCAAGCAAGAAGACCCCTCCTAGCACCTGACTGCCTTGCACAGTAATTCATTTTAAGATGCTACAGTGGGCCCCCTCATGGTAGCCTAGTAGCTAGAGTCCTTGACTTGCACACCCAGGATCCCAGGATCCTATGCAGAGCCAGTTCATTCATGTTCCAAACGACCCAAAGCCTTGGGACTCTGCATCCTAGTGGGGGACCTGTAAGAAGCTCCTGGCTCCTGGTTTCAAATCTGCTCTACTCTGGCCATTGTGGCCACTTGGGCAGTGAACCAGCAGATGGAAGATCTTTCTCTCTGTATGTCCTTCTCGTGCTCACTTCAGCAGCACATATACTAAAATTGTATCTCCTTCTCTCTGTAAGTCTGCCTTTCCAATGAAATAAATAAATCTTAAAAAAAAAAAAGAGTGAATAATTACAAGTTTGTGTATATCTGTTTCCCTTGAAAAGCCCGCTCCACGTTTTTACCCTGTTTCCCAGGTCTCTCTTCCACTACTCCACTAAGACTGGTGAGCCCTGGTGAGGGATCTTTTTCCAGCACCCACTCATTCAACAAGTATGGAAGCTGTATCATGTGTCAGTTCCTAAGTTAGGCAATGCAGAAGGCATGCACTAGAGAACAGAGATTTAGCAACTACCCTTCAGGGGCCTCTTTGTCTAGTTGCAGAGCTAGAAAAGAAGCAAACAATGAAGAAAATAAAAAGATGACAGCTTGGGGGACTGCCACAAGTAAGATCCAGGCGAGGTGACAGAGAAGCTGGGGAACAGGTACCTTAGATAAGATGGTGAGAAAAACCCTCTCTGGGGACAGGACATTTTAGCCAAGATTGGCATTTGGGTCAAAACAGAGTAACTGCTAAAAGTTCTTAGACAAAACAGACCTTCTGTTCAGGAAGCACAAGGAAAACAAGTGTGGTAGGAAACGAAAGAGCAAGAAGATGAGTAGGTAAGATGAGGTAGGGAAGAACAAGGGGACCCAAATCATACATCATATGCCACAAATGCAAAATGAAGGAGGCCTGCTCTCACTGAGAGCTCCTAGCGGGCACCTGCTTTTACATTTGCTATTGCATCCTAGTCACTTCTTAAGAAAAAAAAGTGTTGGGCCTGGCGTGGTGGCCTAGGGGCTAAGATCCTTACCTTGAACATGCCAGGATCCCATATGGGTGCTGGTTCTAGTACCGGCAGCTCCAGTTCCTATCCAGCTCCCTGCTGTGGCCTGGGAAAGCAGTCGAGGATGGCCCAAGACCTTGGGACCCTGCGTCCATGTGGGAGACCTGGAGGAAGTTCCTGGCTCCTGGCTCCTGATCGGTGCAATACTGGCCGTTGCAGCCATTTGGGGAGTGAATCAGTGGATTGGACCCGGCGTGGAAGATCTTCCTCTCTGTCTCTCCTCTCTCTATATGTATCTGACTTATCTGACTTTGCAATAAAAATACATCTTTAAAAATATATATATCTATAGAACTCATAAACAAGAGGCTAAGCAAGGGAATGCTCATTTCTAGAAGGTACATCGCTGTGGCCTTTCTTTGCCCTTTGCCCACTCACATTTCCTAATTATCTTCCCTTTCTAACTTTTCTCTAAGGAATTGTATGTTTTCATATATAAAAATTATTTGTAATGCTTTATTTGTTGATTTTCATGTACTTGAGAGATAGAGTGGCAGGGAAACCAAGGTCTTTCATCCACTAGTTCACTCTTCAAATGCTTGCAATAATCTGGGTTGGACCAGGTCCAAGCCAGGAGCCAGGAACTCCATTCAAGTTTCCCACACTCTCAAGTGCAGGACCGCAAGCACTTGAGCTATCATCTCTTGCTTCCCAGGATGCATTAACAGGAACCTGAATGGGAAGTAGAGGAGCCAGGACTCAGGTATGGAATCAGCACTCTCCAAGCCATATCCTTAGCTCATTGCACCACAAAGTTGAATAAATGTATATCTGTTAGACAGATGGTGTTAAAAATTATCGAAACAAATAAATTGCATACATAAAGGAATGAAAT